AATACATTTCGTGGATATAATATATTATTTAATTTACTTATATTATACAAAAGCTGTATATCTAACTTACATATTTCTTTATATTGTAAAAAGTCCATTTTATAACAAACTTCTAATATTTCCATAGTTTAATATATATGAATAATTTAATAAAGCATATACATATATCAAAGGAAGTTTGTTCATTCTGGAAATTGAAATATGTATTACATGTTTTATTACTATTGTTTATTCTACTTTATTTAACATATGAATTATTATAAAAAAAAAAAATAAATAAGAAATAAATGCTTATTTTTGTATTAATGTATTTACATAAAAAATCATGTCATCTGATATTTCTGTCAATGAAGACGTATGATTTTACTTATAATTAAAATTATTATTAATGTTATATAAATTTAAAGTACCTTTATTTGTATAAGTAAAAAAATATTTTTAAAACTATTATTTTAAATTCTTCTACATATAATATTTCTAATCTCTAGTTCTATTTTGAGGGTATATTTCCAAGATGTAGCGATGAGTTTGCTAATGTGACAAACGAGGCATTGCCTAAACCTAGCACTTATATTGATAATATTTGCACTAAAATTTTCTATGAAGCAGGAGTTAATAATTTTAATAAAATGTCTCGATTTAAAGAACAATGTATACCACTTGTTGAATATTTAAATAATATAAAGGGTAAAAAGGATGAATCTTATATAAAGTCAAGTTGTATCTATTTCAACTACATGCTAAAATATACATTAATGCAATATAATTGCTTATACCAAAATACAAAAGAAATTTACAAAAAAATGGAAAATGCAGACAAACGAAATAATTTACCTGATAAATGTAGTTCTTATATTAAAAATATAGATGATAATACATTTTACAAATTTTATTTTCTGGAATGGTTATATAATTATAGAATAAAATTTAAAGAGGATAGTAATGAATGCCCTTACGGCAGTGAATATTATAATAAATATTTAATCCTTTTACAGAAGTGTATTAATGATAATAGTAACAGTTTCTGTAGAGCTCTTAACGAGTTGAAACAAGAAAATTTTAGCATAGAACGTGTATTTGAATGCCTCCAAGGTTCTAAACACTTATATCACTCTTCACGGACAGTTACAGGAATAGGGATTTTACTATTTTCAATAGCAGTAATAAAATTCATTATGTATAAGGTTAAAAATATTTTTAATTTAGTATGTTAATATGGTATAACAATATATACCACATGTTATTATGAAAATTTAAATTAAAACATAACATTTTTTTTTTCCAATAATAGTACACCCCTTACGGCTCATATATACAATCAATAATAAGAAAAATTGTGAGTTCCAGAAAAAAAAAAAAAGAAGAACACAACAAATTATTGGATTCTTTTGAACATGCATACAACTGTTTAGTATATAATAAATGTCAAATAGCATATAACTGTGTATAATAAAGCTAGAATCACACAAGAATTAATAAATTAAAATTGCTCTGTTTTATTTAAAACCAAAAAATTATAGGAATAAAGTCTTAGAGCAAAAAAATATACAAAGAATATAATTATGAGAAAATATATATTTAAAACACTTTATAGAATTATACTAAAATTTTAAAGATTTTCTTAATTTCATATAAAGTAATTTAATTTTTGAAATATTGAATAATAATAAACAATAAGTATAATGCTTAACATAAAATACAATATAGTAAAAATGTATACTTATGTATTGAACATGATTATATAAAATAATTAAAATATTAAGTATATTGCGTTACTTAATCTTCATACATTATCTATATCTATAAAATTTAAACCGTGTAATGCAAAAACTGAATATTATATATAATGAAAACAAGATTCTAAATTACATTCATAGTAAAAAAAATAAAATAAATATATAATCATATGATTATCATGGTAAAATCTAGTATTTAATAAAAACTAACATCGTAGTAAAAAAAAAAATTATCCCTTATTATAATTTTATGTAATTATATCTGGATATGCAAGTATTTCATAATATATTTAATTAATTTTAAGGAAACATATATGCTTATTATTTGTTTATTATATATGTAAAAAATATATAATTTTTCAGATAAGCACAACTAGAAGTGTACTATTCACATATTAATTTTAGTGTCCATTAACTTATTACAATGAATAAATTTGTATAATGGAATATATTACGCACACATGGAATTTATAACAATATAAATTTTTCTAATTTATCACTTTATGCGACTTATGATATTATACAATATACATAATATAATGTTTTAACTATTCAGTTTTATAGAAAATATACGAAACCATCTTTTTAAAATCCAGTAATCATTATATTGTTTAAAAATGATATTTAAAATTACAATATACTTGGCACAATATATACCATTCACTTTATAAATAGGTAAATTATTTAATAGTGCAACTATAATGCAACATATAATTTGTATGTTTTACTTAATATTAGTGTACATATTAAAGTATTATAATGCTTAAAAAAAAACAAAATGTATTATTGTAAATATTATCTTTACACGTCAAAATACGGATTAAGAACATGCATCTCTTCAATTTTGTAGTAATGGTAGTGTAGATTAAATTATTCATAAAATGCAAAATTAAATTTTGTTAATACAATAAGAGAAATAAAAAAAATAATAAAACGTTCACATGAGTTATCATTTTGAATATATATATATGATCATTAATTATTCATTTGTTTATATAATGTTATGCGTTATTAAATATGAGAATTAAAAGTGCTAAAAATAAAAAAGACATAGGAATAATATTTGATAATTTAAATATTCTTATATAATAAATGATAAAAACTAATTATAACAGTTTATATAAATAATTAATTAATATAATAATTTTGGATGCATTTATCTTTTAATATTTTATAACATTTAGAATTTAGGACTCAACAGCAAAAAATAAAAATTAGTATCATAATTATTAAATAATGAGAATTGTTTATAGACATTAAATAATATAAATATATTAGGCATAATATAGATGCTTTTCTTATATGTATAAATAAAACTATTGTTATATACAAAATATATTGAGCATCAGTTCTTGTATATTTGAAGCTCAAGGGAAAAAATTATATGGTGAAAAATGTTAGACAAAGTAAATTTAATGTGCACATTATATTTTTATTGGATTTCACTTATATATAGTAATTCATTATATTTACATATGTAGAATTAATATTAATTTTACGTAGTTCTTACATATTTATAAAATTATAAGAAATGCTACTGTATTAATGTAATGTATTTAACTATTTATGCTTATACAAACAGCTTATCCATGTGCAATATATATACATTATTTGTAAAACAATCACTTGTATATTACAATCATTAAAGTTTTATAATTCTAGAACCTCAAAAAAAGAAAAATTATTTACAATGATTTTCTTTTCCATAATTATGCTATCAAATTATTTTCGAAAAAAGCAAACTACAAGTATCTGAAAAATGCTTAAAGGTGCCCCTAAATATGCGTCCTAAAATTGCTAGATATTTATAAATTATATAAATATATATTATCATACAATATATACAAAATTAAAACATATTTTTAATAATTATAAGAGTTATTATATTTATTTACTTATATGAGAAAATACATCTTCATGTACTTAATAATGTGGTGTTACATATATTATATAAAAAAATTTATAATGTTATATAACAAAAATGACATTATTATTAAGTTTATAACTCTCTATATATATAATTCAAAATACTTATTTTAGTACTATGCTTTTCGTGGTTCACTATTTTTATTGTATTAATTAATATTTGTTATAATGCATAATAATTGTGTCACTATTCTTATTAAAAATCTATTGTTTACATTATTTTGATTTATCATTTAAAATATATATAATAAAAATAGAAATTTATTTATATGAAAATTTATTTCAAATATGCCGTACTATTATGTTTCATATCGATTGATTTACTATGCTTATATCTTATTTTTTATTAAACACACAATTCCATTTTTTGCTTTAATTATATATGTAAAAAAATTATTGAATTCCATGAATGTATATTATGAACATAGTTAGTGTATTATATTTGACAACTGTATTTTCATGTAATTAATTATCGTATTATGTAATTACTAGTAGTATTTATAGATAATTATCTTCTCTTTATCATTGATAATCAATATAATTATTGCTTATTTCATGGAAATATTTTATAATTTATATTTCATTCAATATAATTAGTTATAAAATAATTATAAGTATGTTTCATAACTTTATTATAATTTATAATGTCTTATTTCTTATTACTATTTACATTTTTGAATAAAAAAATGCAAATTTTTAATTTGTTCCTGTACAAGAAAATGCATTATATTTATTAAATTTAATAACATGTTCTTTAATTGTAATCTAAGGAGTTGTATGACATTCGAAACTTATCATCTATTAAATTATTATGCGTCGTTGTAAATGAATCCCTTAAATTGAGCTTATGACAATTTTTTTTGTTCATTATATTGCTCAACATCCTTGCCAATGGTTGCAGAAATGAACAATATATTTTGTACTGATTGCAAAAAAAACAATATGGTATATATATGAATATGTTATTTATTTTATATAAAACTTTATTATTTTGTGTAATTTTAAAAGTGATACAATAAATAAATTAAATTTATTTCTAACTTTATGCAGAAAAAATATAATTGTTAATATTGAAATAGGTACAATATATGAAGCTAAAATAATGATACGCGTCTTTTTCGAAGATGAGCAATCTATGATTTCAGATTTTTTAGGTAACGGATTTACAGTAATAATATATTTCATATTTTCTTCTTTAAAACGATACAATAATTCATGAAAACTTATGTTATTCCAATTTTTATAATTTTCTGAAAGTTCCATATATATATCATAACAGTTACTATGAGGAGAGCATATATTTTTGTTTTTTATAAAACTAATATATAATTTATTCAGTTTTTCCAATATAGAAACTGTAATATCATCAAGATCTTTTACATAATTTACACATATATTGGATACACTTTTATTTTGTTTTATTTCGCCTGCAGAAATCATTTTCTCGTAAGCATCTTTAGTGCTTTTTACAGAACAATCATAATATTCTAGTGCTGCTTTTAGTTTGAAGTTGAAATAGTTGCAACTTGGTTTTATGTCAATAAATTCTTTTTGTCCGTTTATATATTCTAAATAGGATATAAGTTCTTTACAATTTGAAATAAACATTCCTTTATAGTATCCATTAATTTGTAAATTAGATGCAATTATATTACATGTATTTCCAAGTTTATGGTCGACATTGTTTGAAACATTTCTTGTAATAAAATCATAAATATACAAAAATGTGGGGAAAATGTGGCTAAAATTGAACTAAGTTATAAGGTCATAATGAGAACATAATATTAAAATAGCGCTTATAAAAAAGCATAACTTCCTTGTTGTCAATAAATAATGATACATTAAAATTATGAAAAGTAAATTATAAATGGAAAGAAAAGTAGAGTCTTACGTCATATTTCAAACTTGCATTAGCAATTATTGTGTTTTTTATGTGAATTAAAAAAAATATATATTTTTATGCTTATTCTTTTAAATATTCGTGCATTAAAATTGTCTCACAATACAATATAATTTTATGGTAGATTTTTTTTATATAATATTTAAGTATTAGAGATCTTTTAAAAATTATTTTTTCATTTTATTATTCCTATATGCTAATGTGCGGTATCTTCTGTTGTTCTGAATAAGAGAAGTGTTTTTACATGATTAAAATAAAAGAATGATAATATTAGAATAATTAATTTATGCGCATATGCAAAATGATAAAGAATAATTTAATTCCATTGTTTTATCTATAAAACACATAATAAATTATGTAATTAATATATACAACTAAATGTAATATTTAATAATATAATAAATAATATATCAAAACATGCTCCTTTAAGCATTATTAATTTGCTTGAATATATTGAAAATAATTTGACATGGTTATAAATTGTGTTTTTATCATATAAATATATATTTTTTTTAATTTGTATTCATTATTTATATTATTAAAAGAATAGACTTTTTTTAAAATTTAATATGCAACTTAAACACCAATTACACATTTGTAAATATGAATAAGAATTATTATTCTCGAAAATTAAAAATTACTGATAATTGTATCCCTAATTAAATAGATATATATCCTATAGAGAACAATGATATATGTATTATTATTTTTTTAATGAATTTGTTAAATGTTATACAAGTTATATTTTTTTTGAAGATTTATGGTTAGCTTCTCAACGGTTAATTAATACATTAATGTAACATATAAAAACCATAAAAACATAATAAAATTTAAAATGAACTTTTGGATAAGTTATGTATAAAATAGAATATGAATGTGTATTAATTATATTATGTTTATAACAATTAATACTAACTTATGCGCCATGATAAATTAAAATTATATGTTTAATATTAATCATAGTTTTTTCAGAAGCAAAAACTATTATATGTTCATCTTATATATAAATATAATATTAAAAAAAATTAATTGCATGTTATGCTTATTCATTATAAATATTAAATGTGCTTATTATCTATTATATCACAAGATAATTGATTATGGAAATAATAACACTTTTTGGCATTTGACATAAAAATTATAATATTTTGAAATATTTACAATCCCATTTATGTATTAATTAAAATGTAATTTATTATTATAAGTGCTTCACATATTATTCTTTTAGGTATTCCATAAATAAAATACATAATAATATTGTACTACATATGAACAATTTTACTCAATAAATGCAAGAATATAAACTACATATAATTCACAAAATAAGCACAAATAAATAATTATGCATTATGTATAATTGTTATATAAGCTTAAATTACGGTTTATCTTAATGGTATTATACATATTTCACAATTTATTTGATCTTTGATTCAAAAATGTATGTTTCTTATAGAAATGTATAAAGTATAAATATATATAAAATAAGAGTGATAATATTGTAAAGTATATATTTATGATATTTGTTAAAATATTTATTTTATAGTTTAAAAATAAAAAACATAATATGCAAATTATTTTTTACGTAAATGATGATTTTGCAAATATATATTATTAAGAAAGTTGCCTTACATTTCCATGCATAATATTATGTAATTCAGTAAATTAATTATAATAATATTATATCCATGTTTCACCATGTATATTTAATTATAGTTTTATTGTGATTTCACGTAATAAGTAATAAATAATATATTTATTTTTTTATTTTCACAATAACTAATACTACTGTTAGTAAGTTTATCTAATTTTATTACCAAATATTAAATATGTAATATATAGCGTATTATTCTATTATTTTAAGTAAGAATAATGTATTTAAATTAAATGTCCATAATATTTAATTTATAATATTCAAATAAAGACATGTAAATTCTTTAGTAATGTTATATATAATGTATTATATATTGATCCTTAAGAAAAATCATGCAAATCCTGTGAATATTGCCATCCGATTATTATAATAATATGAATAAATGTTAATTTTTAATTAATAGAATTAAATTTTTTAGAGATATTAATAATATTTACATTCATTAGTGGAATTATTTATATATCATTATATTTAATAATACTACTTCATTTGATTATTTGCAAATATCATGTTTCAGTGTTCAATTTTAACATTATGTAAGATAACTGAAATATCGCATTTTCTTATTTTTTTTGAGTAGAATATAATGAATATGAAATATTATTTATTTCATCTTATATAATTTTTTTTTATACATATTCAACCTTATTTTTATTTTATTTTTAATTTTTTTTATTTAACCAAGTGTCAAATAATGTAAAAAAAATAGTATGAAATAAATAATGCTATAATTTAATATGAAATAATTTTATTATATTATTAATAGAGATATCAAAATTAATATTAAATTATATACAATTCATTTTATATGAAATATAATAAATAAAAACAAGTATGAAATAAAATATTAAAAATATATGTTATGTACATTATATAAATTTTGTATTATAAGTGCTGTTTTAATTTTATATATCATGTCCTCTGATCAAGGTTATTTTTTAGTGTTCTTTATGTTTATTTATATTTTTTCTTGTTTTTACTTTTAGGGATATTTACAAATACTCCCGTTCTCTTATAATGTATATATATATACATATACAACTGCCATAATTCGTAAATGAATATATGAATACTTTTTAAATTCGCATATTTTAAAAAATGTATTTACACTCATGTTCTTAATTATTGTATTTGTTGACAAATTACTTTATAGGATATGATGCATCACTATACTTATTGTTATAACTGGAACTCGTTAATACAAATTAACTTTTGTAATTGCCACTAAAGGATTTATACAGAGTAGTACAATTAATGATATGTTTATTATAGTTTAACTAATATGAATAATATGATCATGTAAAAAAAATTTATATAATTAATGTTTATGAATGTATTAAATTATAGAATTCTATTATATATATCAAACATATTATATGTGTTGTTTTGTTAAATTGATATATAAGAAATAAAATACAAATTAATCCAAAGTTTAAAATAACAATAAATTAATATATAAGCCGAGATATATTTTTCTAAAAGGATTACTTCATGTGTAAATGAAGTATATCAACAGAATTATAAATCGTTACGGTAATAACTTCAAACAATTATACATATATATTATAACCTAATACTCTTAACATTTATTTCTGTGCATCTATATATATTATTATAATTTATATAAAACACGATATATTTATAAAAATATGTTTAATGTATTGTTTTTTAAGGACAGTAAATTATAAAAATAAAAACGTTATATATGCAATTCTTTCAAATATGTGTATTAGCATATATATATAATAATGCTCTTGTGGAAATATATAGGACCCTATATATTCTTTACACAAATAAAATAAATGCATCAAAATATAACTAAATATATGGTACAACATAAATACCAATAAGAAGATGTAAGTTATTTGAAATCATTTTATGTATTTGTATACAAGTGGCTTGTCGACGTTTCCATTATAATACTAGTATAATTCATTTTTAATATTTTCTGGAAAATATAAATAATCACTTGTATGATATAGAAAAGAAAAATGTAATAGAAAAGATATTTTTAACTGTATGTGTAATTATACTTAATTTAAATATATCTTAAGCAACTTGGAACTGGGATTAAAAATATATAAATAGTTCATTTTAAATGTTGGCATTGATCACTTATTTTAATTAATATATTTTTCTCTCATAATGCTACTGCTTTGCTAAGATTATAAAATATTTTATTTTCAAAAAAATGTTTATTTATTTAAATGTGTATATATTTAATGAATTGTATTATATTTTTGGCATTTATATTTCTAATTTATTCATGAGTACATTCTTATTCACGATATAGATGCAGCTATTACTCTATAACAATAATTTTTTTCTTCTGTAGATATATATTCATTTTGCATATTCGCTATAATTTAAGAGATATCCTTTATCTTTTCCCATATATTTTTATTATATTTTCAATAAATAATATCTCTCTTAGGAAAAATTTTAAACTATTAATATACAGCATTAGTAAATGTGCTATATCGTTAGCCTAAAATTAAATCAATAAATGTCATATATAAATTCCAAATATCATAGTGAAGAAAATTTGATTTATCAAATTACATATTAAAAGAGAAAAATAATATTTAATAAATGAGGATTATACATATAGTGCAATAGAAGAATGTAAGAATTAAAAAAAATTATGATAATTTTAAAAATATTGAGAAAGCTAAAATTACTCAGATATAACTTTTTAATTCTCTACTATATTTATGAAGTAAAAGTCTCGTATTGTTTTTTTTGAATTGTTTTCAGTACTATTATATCATTCCTGAACCATTAAGTATTTTCTTTTAATTCATCAAAATACATTATTATTATGTGATAAAACCAACATAATCATTCATCAGTGACACATTTACGATATTTAATATATAAACTAATATAAATTATTGTTCATAAAAATTATTAAAAAAAAGAAAATAAAAAGATATATAAAAATAAATTTATTTTGTGTAATGTGATATAAATGAATAATATATCGTCTCAATGTTTCATTTTTTTATATATATTATTTTGTGTTTTTCTCCTTATTTTAAGGTTAAGATTTCAATTTATTGTGTTTTTGAATTGTGGCTTATTCATAAATGTTTTATTTACGTATAGATATTTTTTACATTAATTTTATGGATTTTTTGTCCTTTAAATATATATATTTTCAGATTTTATGCATATATATAAGATTTTTTATGTACATTTGTACTTAATAATTCTTAATTATAATAAATAATTTATTTTTATTAAAGTAGACATGTAATATAATATTATGTCTGAGCATAAATGAAGGTTATGCATATACAATCTAATTAATGATATATAGACAAAAAGTTAACGATGAAAAAATAAAATATGTATATACCATTATATTAATATCCTATATTTTTTTTTGCTTACGAGATTTCAAATATTAAGGAAAAATATGTATCACTTTTATGATGATAATATTTTAAAATAATTTATTATATTGTATTTTTTTATGAACCACCAGTTCTATTTTGTATTCGGATATATACTTTTTAACGCTTCTTATATATATATATATATATATAGTATATTATGATTACATCCTGAATTTTCATTAATATGTAGTCAATATATTCTTTTTTCATTAAACAACTTTACAAAATATTCCATGAATTCTAATTACATTTCATTGATTCTTACATTTTTCTTAGTAATTTGTCATAGGACTGTAACATGAATGGCCATGTTATTGATATGGATTTTTATAGCGATGCAACGATACTAATTAATAGTTCTCAAGTTAATATATCATCGTCGTATATTATATTTATTAAATTATGTATTCATGTTTGCTAGTTTAACCAAAACTTTAAAAACAATATCAGTGTATGCAATAGGGGTACTTTAATGTGTGCATATATATAACTTATTTTATTAATACATCATTAATATAAATTAATAATACCCTTTTTGTCACCTATATATTGTATATATAGTAATATTTTTCTTTGTATATTAATGTTCCCATTATGAAAATATGCTCAAGAAAAGCTTGGGCATGTATGATACGAAAGTATGTTGATTTTAATTACTGAGACAGGTAATATTGAATTCCTAGGGGCATATTTCTAATTAAATGATTTATAAATTCATATAATTAACTTATTTCATACTATGTAATTCATTTTATATTGATCTTAGTTTAATGAGTTTATATGATTTTTTTTTGCGTCATATAAAATGATAATTTCATCCCTCAATAAAAATTCAAATCAATTAATATTTATGTTCTATTATTAAATATGGAAGTTTCATGAAAACATTTAGTTGATTTATTAAAGATCAGTTTTTTCAATTGAAATATAAAATCCATTTATTATTTAAAACTATATTTTATATTAGATGAATCTTTGCTAATATATATTCCTTAGTTTCACAAAATAGTGCTAACAATCTCCTAAAAATGTTACGTTTCCATGTTTCCTTTTTACTTATACCTTTGCACCTTGTCTAATAATTAAGTAATCTAGAGAAAATATGACAAATATAGAACATGTATAATATATTTATTTAACAAATATAATTATTGTGGATCATAAAAAAAGTGGCATATGATATAAAATAAAAAATAAATGAGTACTATTAGAAAATAAAAAAAATATATATATATATTAATATTATTAGGAATAAAAAATATTCCTAAACTTCATAAATATAAATAAAAGGATTATGTATCAAAAACAGTTTAATATATTATATTTATATAATTTTTTTAATAGGTATTAATCCAATGATGTTTTCCATATTAATAAGATACTCTGTAGATTAAAAAGTATAAAATAGATAAATTATCATATATATTTTATCATTCGAACATGAAAATATACTGTCATTGTTTTATGAAATAATATTTACATATTTTATCCAGATAATTACAATTCATTTCTTATTTTTATTAGAAAACAATATTGTTTCATTATATAAAGAAATTATTTGTATATTTAATTACATAAATAAATGAATTAAATAATTCGAATAAAATATAATTATACATTATGTTCTCTATAGACAAAAGTAATACATAAATTTAACTTCTATTAACGTATATGGAAAAATAAATATTATAACTCTACTCATGTATAGAATAGAAATTGTAAATAATTAAATTTGTAAATAATAAAAATTTCTTTACATTAAATAGAGCCCGAAAAAGGGAAAAAAAATAGAGAGAAAACAAGTACATTAATAAAAACAAAAGCTATAACAAATAATATATATTTTATTATTTGTGTTATTACATATATTAATGATTTTATTATGCGTATTAATTTCTTATATATATATACAATGAAAAATAATAAAAAAAAGTTTCTTCGGATTTATTCATAGTATGTTTATTAGGTAAACAGCTAAAATTGAATAATTATTGAGATATGTGTATTTTGTATTTTCAAATATATCACTCAAATATAATACGTACAAAAATAGTATGACGTATATAATAATATTTAACATAAAATATATTTAAATTTTATCAATAATTGTAACTTTCTTCTACTTTTCTTTATTATATCATGTTATATATTATTGTATTTATATTATATTGCTTTATAGCCTACAGACATCTTATTTGTTATAATAACTGCACTTAAAAACATAACCGGTAACAAGTTAATTCATATATTTTTATAAATTATATAAGCACAGAGTAAATTATATTGAGATTTAGTATAATATTTGTTTCGAACATATTTCATAAAAAAATATATTTATATATATATTTGATATATAAGATTATAAGAATCATATCATTTTATATATGATATTATTAGAAGACATATACGCTTTACTGCTTTACATGAATATGATTTGTGGAGTTTATACAAATATTTTATTAGTGTTATTTATTAAATATTAAGAAATATGATATAATACATCATAGCTGCTAATCCTTGGTGAACTACTATATATTTCAGGCCTTTCCAACATATGTTTTTCCTCACTTCTGTTAATCCATCGATTAATTATCCTTAATATAGAGCGACGAAACCATGATCCATATGATGTTGACTAGTTTATAATAAAGAATATACATTGAAAATATAATCATTTTCTTCGGTAATTTTTTTCTTTTAAATGTACATATATGTGGCTTCATAGTATAAATATATATAAGTAATATAATAATTAACATTATACAAAATGAATAAAAAAATAGATATTAATAATGATATAACAATCGTAATTGTAATAGGAACAAGGATACTAGTTTTGCAAGGCAACATTATTTTGACTTCTTTAGTTTCAATTTTATTCCTGTTAATTTGTATATTATATTGTTTTACATAGTACTCCAGTTCATTACAGAAATCAACGTTTCTATTGAATGCACACTTTGATTTGATTATATCATCATTTATATATATGTGATATAGAGCTGCCAGTTCTCGTACATAGTCATTAGTGATAGATTTCTCCTTGTTCTTGCATTTATGGACCATATTCCTTAAGTTAACACTATATAAATTGAGTAAATCAGAATATATACTTTGTATATGATCAGCTTTTTCTTTATTCATTTTAAGAACATATGAGTATATCCAATAGGAAAAAAATTCACATCCAGCTTCATCTAAATTTATATCATCTGGTGAATTAACTGTAGCCAAAAAATCCATAGCTTGTATGCATACATATTCTGCTTTAGTTTTAACATCTATAAATTTTTTCAATATATTATTTTCTCCTTTACATGCATTTATCCAGATTCCTCCAATGCCAGGCGTGTAAATTTCCTTTTCATCTAACATTTTTTTACATTCAGGAAATTTTTTTACAATTTCATACTAAAAAAGAAATAAAAATAATAGTTATACAATAAATACATACTAATATAAGATTTATATAAATTTTTCCATTAAATATTTATGTAAATACTATAATTTTTTAATATATATAATAACAATTCAAACGTACAATAAATTTCCCCATCTCAAATAATATTATAATCTGTTACATATGATCTAAATAAAATTATGAACTTGTTTCATTAAATTTTTAATAAATAAATCATAATATATTATGTATCATAAAATTTTCGTTCTTATAATTATAGAAACCTTGTTAAAGTATCAATGAAACATTTCATAATTAAGTATCATGATAATAATATATAGTGCTAATAATATTTATTATATATCATTTCTTAGTTATATCAGCTCAAATAAGTGTAACATAAATATATTATTTAAAAAAAAAAATACAATTTGTTAAGAAATAATGTTAAATTTATGATTCTACAAAATAATTATACAATTTTAGTAATAATAATAATAAAAAGGTACATATGTAATATATAATCCCATTATGTGATATTAATATAAATATGTATGTCATGTCACATAATTTATTATTTATACTAGTTTTTTTATGTATCCTTAATTTTATTCAAAAACTAAAACATAAATAATTAAAAAATAATTATCTATCAACATATTATAATTCCTTTATATATATATATAAAATAATAGAAGATTTATAAAGTGAAGTATAGTACATTAATTAAATTTTTTATAAATACGACACAACGCATATATTAACGATTTAACATTTTATAAATATCATATACCTTAACGTAAATATCGAATTAATACTTTAAGAATATATTTATAGATTATTAAAGTACATAATTTTGAAATTTATGTATATTAAAATACAAATTAAATAACGTAATTTCCATATATACATATATAATATTAAAAAAAAATAATCCTGTGCTTTATGTTTTATTTCTATTCAATTTTAATATATATAGTATATTATTACCTTTTTGTATGTAATAATATATTAGTTTACATATATAATCATCTCATGTTTTACACCTTATAATTTCTACAGTTTAGTGTATTCGTTTATTATGTTATTTCTAAATAATTTAAGAATAATTTATCATTAACAATAATGGTAATATATTGTATTTTATAATTTTTTGTCCCTTACACGTATTAAAATTGATTAGTATTAATAAACTAAGTGATACTATTTCAATAAGAACCATAATAGCATTTGTATTCAATGTACCATGTTGAAATGTAAAAAATTAGAAATAAAAAAGTGCTTATTACTCTTGTGTTCTGAAACATAGAAAGTAATATATGTATAGTTTTAACTTCTTAATTTTCATAAAAATATATTCAAAAATTAATTCATATTATATAAATACATTAGAGCTAATTATTATATACAAAAAATTATAATTTTTCATAAAAAATTTTTGTATTAAAATAGATTTTTTAAAAGAGTAATATATATATTTATTAGTTATAAGATAAGGTATACAAATTATATTATATAATTCTGTATTATATTATTATATAAGCACAATGATGATTCATATTTATTTAAATATATGTTGGCTGCTTAATTCATATTATAAATATAGCTTATTTACTATAACACAAAAAAATATTAATTCATGTGTTTTCTTTTTTATTTTTTTAATAATCAATACTATTATAAATTAGATAAAATCATTTTTCAAAAGGAAATCATATACATTTATTAGAATACTAGTATTATGTACAAGAAGAGGCAATTTTTTTATACATTTTTCTTGATAATATATTTATAATATTCAAATATATAAATATATATTGCTTAACCATGATATATATTTTACATTCTTTAAACAAACGTATTGATATTTCCATTAAAATGTAAAAATTAAAATTTATAATTATGTTATCTAATATTTATAGATCATTTTTGTAGAAAACATGTATTGTCATTATAAAATGAATGTTTTATTTATTCATTCTTACTCATGATACTGCTTAATATAGTTATATGAAAAATAATACATATGCTTTTTTAATATTATTCACATTATATACTTTATTACTTATTAAAATAAAATAATATGATAATCATAAGTTACAACTTATTACGATTGAGTAAAAATATACAGTATCTGAAATGTTGTTTATCAATTTTATTGTTCCCCCTTTTTTTTATTGTAAGAAAACTTAAAAAAAAAAAATTTCTTACAGTGTATTCATGAGTTGAAATGTTTTAATTAATTATGCCTAAATATTATTGAGTATTTTAGGCATTTTGAAAAAAATGCTATTATAAGACATATAATAATTAATTTTAAATAGTTTAAAATGAATTTATAAATTATTCTTACAAACTCTACAAAAAATTATAAAGAATCATAAGTCACTAGAATACTGTACCTTTAAATGTTAATATGATTCAGGTTGGTTAATTTCTGTTTTTAACATAATATGATGTGTTATTATTATTAAATATTATGGAAATAAGTGTTCAAACAATTTTATATTTTTTAAGGGAATATATCTCTATTATTTTATTCATTCATTATTTTATAAAATTTTTTTTGTAGATTTCCCAGGATATGTAAAATGTATACGAGAAAATTTAAGAAATAGAAATTTAGCAATGAATAATTATATAGAGAATTATTTTTTAATATATATGTTCCCAAAAAAACTCATTGAAATATAAAATATCACTATAAACCTTACATAATATATTTAAAACTTTTTTTAATATGTACAAATTGTTTTTATATATTTCATGCTGAATAAAAAAATTAAGCATCTGTTTATTGTTATACGTCATGTTTTAAATAAAATTTAAAAAAAAATTATTTTTCATAACTTATATAATTCACAAGGTTAGATATTATTATATATACATTTACATTGTTTTATTTATATGTAATTAATTAAACCTCACACTGCATCAGAAAAATATTATCCCTAATTTTTAGCATAAAAAAGAGTACATAATATGAACTAAATTATCCTAGTAGTATGCCGTATTATAATATTTTTATTATTAAAAATTATAATTACGCACCTTTAATTAATTACATATGTATATATACGCATGAATGCATGGTTCTTATGTTCATTATATAAATGTATGTATAAAGGCTAATTTGCAAATAATAAAATAATCTTTCATAAATATATTTAATGAATTATATTATGTAAACGGAAGAATACAAATAAATGTATAACAAAATTATTTTTTTTAATTACATGTATTCTAAAGATATTTTTTTATATGTTCACAATTATATGTAATGTCACAGAAATTAATACAATTCAGTAGAATAATAAATATGTGATGTATAACATATGACTATAAGAGGACATTTATCATTTTAATAACTTTAAAAATATTATTTTAATCAATTAAACATTTTATATTCTTCCCTTCTAGTAAGATAGGTTTTATTTTTTAGTAATATGAAAATATGTATAAATATTAATATATATAACAAGTTTATGTTAATACGTGAAGAGGCAAATATTTAGAGTATTCAAAATGTTGCTTAGGGAAAAATAGAGAATTACTTTTGAACAAATACTGAATGGTGAAGTATGCATAATTAATTTGTGTTTTAATATTATCACCTAATATATTTTTTAAAAATTATTCTTGTCCTACACAAGGTTAACTTCTCAGGTATAAATCTTTTTATAATTTTATAATAAATATATTTTTCTTATTTTTCTGGATGAATATTCTAAACATTTATATGAATGAATAAGCATTCAACGATTAACATTTATCAACATGAATGTAATCATCGATGTACATATTTTAGTAAAACTCTCAGTAATTAATGAGTTAAAAAAAGACATAATGAACTCTACAAAAAAAAGTCTGAATTTCTTTTAATATTATCGCCTATTCTCATAAAATAGCATAATTTTAGAGATCATTGATCATATTCTATTCACTAAACATATGAACACTTGTAACTGGAACAAAAATAATAAATCATTATCAAATATCAAATTTAATTCATCTATTATACAACATATTACAGTTTTTTATTTTTTAGAATTAATTATAAATATAGAACTAATAAAGTATGTTGCTCTAATTTTATCGAAACATACAATTTCTACAAAAGAATTAAATATTTCACGACCATTTTAAAAATAATGATCGCTTAACATGTAAAAGATATTCTAATGAAATTTAATTTTAGAAATACTGAGAATATATCATTATTGCAGTAAAAATATGACAATTTTTCTTGTGTATTGGTCATATATGTTTTGTTTAATCTTATTACTCCATCCGATATGTAACTTGGTTAAAATTTAAATAAGAACTATATTTATATATATTTGTACAATATCTATTTCGTTAAAAAGATTTTCCAAGGTATCTAGGAGATATTAACAGATTTATCAACTATACACTGTTATCTTACACTTAAATATGTAGTAAGAGGTTTATGAAATTTCATATACTATAATTTATATATTATCATGTTATATACATTTACAATTTTGAGATATTTTTATTTGATTTCTGAATTTAAAGTAAATATTAAATATTGCTCCGTAGTGTTATTGCATTATAAGAGGTTATATTTTATATGGAACACACATTTAAATATTTATAAAATAGTAATATTATATATATTATTTTCTAACATTTTACACGTTATATATATCATAAGTTATCAAGTTATTATGCGAGGGAAAATAAGAAAAATCAAATAAATTATATTCTTAAGGAAAAAAATAAACAATAATTACAACAAAATGGATTGTCGAAGGTATGTTGGTCTTCTTTAAAAAAAAAAAAAAAATTAATATAAATTATACTGTATTTATAGATTATTATCGAGTAACTGTAATTTAAATATTTCATAATTTTAAAATTTTTAATTTAAAATAAATCTTTGCAGAACATGTTTTGCCATTTAAGTTCATCGAAAGAAACAGACATACAAATATATTAATAAAGTAATAATTTTATCCTTTGTATCATTTAATTTTATCTACATTATTATTCCCCTTTTTTGTAGTTTTAGAGAAACAATGTCAATAATTATTTTTTTTTCTTTTTTAAACATAATTTTTCATTTTATCAGATATTTTTATATTTGTATTTTTTTGTTCTACATTTCTTTTTAATGTTTATATTTAATTTTATATATAATAAAAATAATTTTTGTTTATTTTTATGGCAATTTATTTTTGCTATTTTATTATAGCTTATGATGAAAGTATATTCCTTAATAGGTTTCTATTCATTACAAAAATCAGAGTTTATAAATATTTTGTTATATACATTTATTGAAAATAAAAACTTTTATAAATTTTATTATATTTAAGGACAACTTAAACTGGATCAACATATTATAAAGAAATATTTTTAATTTTTTTAATAAATTTTTAACAAATGTTGCGCATGTTCTATTTTATTTTTTTTCTTTATTGTCATTTATATTCCTCATATTATTGTAATTTTAATTGTATAATATATTAAATGATGCAGAAGATTTCATAGTAATAAGGAGGTTCTTTGTAATCATGCTTATATACTTGAATTTAATGAACTTTTTTTCATTGTGAAATGTTGCATGAATAGTGCACTTTATTATATATTATTTGTTATAACATTATCATTACATATATATGTCTTCACAAAAGTTTAATTCAAGATATAACAAAAGACTTAACATGTAAAATAAATACAAAAATATATTGTCATTTTTATAAAGGTTTGTTTTAACTAAATATTACACATCACATTAGAAAAGACACTCTTAAAATAATTAGTATCATATTCCATATACTTATAATACTTAGCCTATATTGCATCTATTTATATGAAATATTAAAATTCATGATTATACATTTTATATGAATTCAGATTTTTTTATGTGTAAATTAATTACAATATATGGTAATGCAAGAACAAAGCTTTAGAAAAATGCTCACACGGCAACTAACCTGCGAAGCTTAATAATTCTAATTACATGTGCCTACATATATTGTTTTTTATTTAATTGATTTTCTTTTCTATTCTTTCTTTATCGCTTATTCTATATTTAATTTGTTAATTTTAATTCTTTTAAAAAGTGCGATTATTAATTAAATTTAATCTTTTATTATATAACAATTTAATTGTATATTTTAGTTCAATTATCAGTTGTGGACACAATAAAATTACGTAATATATAATATATCGGTATATCACTTTACAATACTTGGCACAATTTTGATAATCTACGTAATAAAAATTTTATTTCCATGAGAACTCATAGTTTATAATATTATGTGATTTTTAATATAGTATTAATTTAGATATGAAAAAATTAGCGAACCTATATTCTGCACAAAAATCAATTGTTAACTGTTCTACTGTAAAAAAATTATTTTCAAACCATTATTAATACGTGAGAACAAAAACATTATTCTTAATATCAATATAAAGTGCATTACATATAATATTTAGAATGCAAAAGTATAAGGAAACAAACTTGAGCAATAACAAAAATTGATATATTAATATATTTGGTTAAATTTAATAAAAATATTTTAATAAAACCTAAAATTATATATGTTAAAAAAAAAAATAATCCAAACTTAACCGTTTAAATGTGGTATAGAATGCTGAATTTCTACCTTTAATTTTTCTTATTTTTTATCTTATAATATAAACTTAAACATGTTTAAAAAACGCTTACCTAACACTTTTCGTTATCGACAAAGTCATATAAAATGAATGACCATTTTATATTGATTCCTATGATATTATGTTAAATCAGATAATGATAAATTTCAAATAGAAGTAAAATGTTTTATAATTAAATTATTGTTTGTAATTTCTAGAAGACGTATTAAGTTGCTTCTACATTATTAAAAATTTTCGACATAAATAACATAAATATATAAGATGGCGTTATGAAAGAATTGCGACCGCTAAAAATAATGCCTCAAATATAAAATAATAATTAGAGAATAAAAAAAATTAAAATGAGTAATAATAATCACAGAAACAATCAAATAAGAAGCATCCATCTATATAATTTACTTATGAAACTGGGTATGTATAAACAATACAAAAATATATATATATATATATATATTTTACATTAAAAATTCTCAAATCAAATTTTAAAGATATTTATATGTCTCATATTATTTTCCAATAAAGTTTCTTGTGAAATTCTTTATTGTAGCATCCTTAATAACTCATCGTGTCTTTTTATCATATTTATTTTATTTTTTTTTTTGCATTCCTACCTAATTTTTCATGATTACCAGCTTTTCCATATTGCTCAATCAATTATATTGAATTAATCTATTATATATCCTTTTTTTTAGACACATTAATTTGGTTCTTTTCAAACTAATATGATACTATAACTTTATCCTTTATATTTAAATAGATTTTTGTACTATGATTACATGTATAACACTTAACTAGTGAACAATTTACTCTTGAGGATACATACATTTTAATTATTTGAAATTATGTAAGAAATTGAAGAGTTCCTGTGAATATCATTATTTTTTAACTTGTTTTTCCTAACAAAATTCACTCAGATAATTCGGATAACATTTTTAGCTCAAATGGTTGTCCTAAATATTTTCAAATAATATATTTAACTAGTAAAAATAATCACGTCTAGGCTGATATGACAAATGCACCGCGCTATTTTGCGAATGTGTAAGAAATTCTTCTGACATATATTTTGATAATTCTTCTTCATATTCATCATTATAATTATTTTCAAAGTCTCTTTTCATTTTCTCCTTTTTATTTGAAATTGATCCTGGACCAGTGAACTAACACAAAATGAAATAAAAACAAGCAATATATTTGCTTCAAAATTGTACATATGGAGAAATGAGTATTATATGCATAATCACAGAATACATTTATATTAAGTTCTAATTATTACCTTAAAGAAAATGACAAGAAATATTATTACACACAAAATTGAAGCACTCATGATAATGTGGCGTGAATGTATTGATTTGAATACATCATAAATTCTTTTAAACAAAATATTAGAATTGGACAACATATATGGAAATGCATAATTAGTTTGATTAATTCTATGCTCGTTATTCCAGTATTGTATGTGACTCATTGTGTCTTCCCATATTCCAACTTCAGGTGTTACTTCTTGTCCACCACTGTTTTGTTCATCTTTTGGTACTGGCAAATGTAATAAACTTTGTGTTCCTGATAAATCATCTGGATTTCCTGTACGTTTTGAATCTAATTGAGCTTCTTCTTTTCCTAAATCATCTGAACCTAGTGGATCTTCTGCTCCCGCTGTATCCACTTTGGAAACAGGATTTTCTCGGGTTAGCGCATCACCTTCTCCATCATTTATATCTTTTTGATTTGCGTATACTTGATCTGCTCCTGGTTTAAATATATTACCTTTACCACTCGTGGATGTACGAACAACTGGAACACTTAATTTGGGAATTTTGTGGTATTTACATTCTTCTAGTTTAGATATAAGAAATTCTGGGTTATATGTGGAAGTGCAATTAAAATAATGAGGGGAAGAAGTAAAAAACCAGGAAAATCCCATAGAACAATGATTCGCTTTATATTTTTTATACAATGAATTAAAACCTTTAACATATGCCAAATACTCACTACATTTGTTTTCATCGTTTAAATTGATAATTTCTTTAATTCTATCATGATTTTGAAAATAAATGTAAGAAATATTCCTTTTATTCCATTCATCTAAATTAACATTTTTTTCAGGACTTGGTAAAGCAGTACAACTTTGTTTAAGCTTTCCCTTAATAACCTTATTTACTATATTATAAAGTTCAGTAACAAAAGGTATTTCATTAATAATTTTAGAATGTCTTGTATTTATTTTCCCTATTTCACCATACAACCAGTAACGTAAATAATTGCAATATTGTATATTTTCAGATTTTATGGGTTCTTCAGCTATCTTTTCTAATGCATAAACGAATTTATTGCAAAGTTCCTTAGCAAATTCATTTTGAAACATTTCTTTGCCCATTGTTTCCATACAATAATTATAATCTTTAAGAATTTCACTGATTGAAAAAAATTCTACATACATTTTATCAAATCCAATAACTTTTGCAGCCTCCTCCTGAAAAGTTTTATAAAAAATTAAATAAACAATTAATAAAAACACGGTTTCAATAACAAGATTTCCTTTTAATTACCAACGAAATAACTTATATAACTAGTAAGGTATAAAAAATAATATGTATTCATATATACCAACTTTCCCTGATGTGTCTTCTCCATTTTCTTATTTTTGACATAATTTATTTTTAATAAAAGTAAGAATGTTTTCAAACAGAAAATACTAATATATGTAAATTCACAATATATAATATTATCTATATATTTATGTAATCCTTTATATTATTTATATTGCTTAAATAATTATTTATTTATAGGCACTATTATTGTGTAATAAACAGGTGTACTAATTTTTTCTATACTATATATATAAAACATATTCATTTAAACATTGCGAAAAAAGATCGAAAAAACAACATAAAACTCAAACTATACTAAACATTTTAAGAATTGTATTAAAACTCTTTACATGTTAAATTATTATATTATTTTCCTAACTATAACATAAAAGTAGATATTTTGGACATCTGTGTTGAAATGCTTATTTAATAATTTATGCGATTTTTTAAACAGACTTTAGAAATAATATAAATTATTGTTGACACACTTGTTTTTTTGGGATGGTAATATCATTAAGATACTGAAAATTATTTAATACCAGAAGTGTGGTTTCTTCCAGTGTCCTTTGCAATTACAATACAATGAGAATGCAGCTGTGCACATGCTCATCTAAAATTAAATAGTAATTCTAAGGGCAACGAGACAAAAATTGGCATATATATTATTAACAAATATATGTTATTGCACAACATTAAAAAAATATATTGTATAAACATTTATTTGTTTACTATTTCAATGGCTCAAATTTTTCTAAAATGCTGTTGTAATTATTTAAAAGATAAGTCAATTCATAATTCTCAATACTTCAATGTACAAAAAAGACTTAAATTTAAAAAAAAACTTTTTTTTTATCATTATATAATATATATATATTTTAGTCTTTGGATGATTATCATAAATAAATACACATTATTATAAAATTAATAACGATATTTTTTTTGCTAAAAAAAAGCATTCACTTTATCATTTCAAAATCGTGAAAAAAACCAATGAAAAAATTTCTACATATCTTAAATGAAATGTGGCCAAAATTTTTATAGGATATTGTTGTAACCTATATAGGAATTACATCAAAATTATAACCTGTTTTTAATTACATTTATATTTTTAGTGGTAAAAAAAATAATGATATAGAAAACTTTTTATTATCATATTATACTGTTTGTTTTTTCAAGCACCTTTTACCATTAGCATTTTCTAAATTTAAACAACGTTGAACAATATTTTTCTAGATAAAATAATGATAATAACAAGAAATAGTAAATAAAAGTTTTAGATATGTGTATCAAAGTGATACAACGTTTGATTTATATTGAAAATATTAAATATGCTACATAATAATAAAAAATTCTACACATTATTTTGCACCTTCACACAACACGGTGAAGACTCAATCGTTGCTAAAATAATCCATAAGGAATTCTTTATTTATTATGATACATAGCAGGCATAAAAAAAATAAACACTTTTTTAATCCTTTTTTTTTCCACATTAATCAGTAAAAAAGTTACACTTATATATGAAAAATATGTAAAAAGAAGCATTCATTTAAGGAATTATACAGCAAGGATATTTTTTTTATCCATTCACATTTTCACCATAAAACAATTATATGTATTAAAAAAGTTATATATGTATAAATCATCATTTGTTTGTGCCATTCATCATCTTAACTTTCTATGAATCTTTGAGTTAATAAAATTGTCATAATAAATCAACACACAATACTAATTTTGCCGTTACATATACCAGAAATGTTCTTTTATGTAATGTTAACACTTCAATTCACAATATATATAAAAATATAAAACAAAGAGTCGAAATCTATAAACCTTTTGAAATATAAAAATTTCAATATCCATATATATTACCATTTAGTGTAATGACAATATAAGAATCAGTGAACTTTTTTATATGATCGCACTTTAAGTATGTATTTCTACATGCGAGAAGATATTATTTCATAAAACTTGTATAAAATATTTTTTTGCTTCAATTTTCTATTTTAAATTTAATTATTTCTAATCCATCAAAAGCTTCAGTGCTTTCATGTAATTTTTTCTATTAGACTAAATATTCATCTAATTATTTATTATTATATTAAATATTCGTTTCAATGTGCTCAGGTTTCATCAGTAATGATACATCCTCCTTTAAAATTAATTTTTTTTATATTCATATAAGATGTATAATTTAAACGAGTATGAAAGACAAAAACAATTTTTATATAATTCAATAGAACAAATTTATATATATTACTTGTTGATATATTTTTTTAGGATACATCTAATTTTTTTTACTTAACACTTTAATTACTTTTTGTGAGAAAGTACTTTTAAAAAGAATTAATCTTTTTCCTTGTTATTTTAATAATACACATTTATTTTAATATGAATTTTCTGCAAAATACGATATTAACCTATTTTCCTGAATATATCATATAGTAAAATGAGTAAAAATATATATATGAAAATATTTTTCAAAATATTTCATAACGGACAAAAAATTATAAATGAAAGATATTTTATTTCTTTAAATAAAAAGTGTATAATCACCTTTTTTCCTTACAATTATATTAAATTTGGCAACACATATAAATAGAATCTTATACTTCTTCATGTTATTCCTAATCTGTTGATTTTGTATGAAATGTTTAACAAAAACAAATCCATGTAGATGATAAGGTGCATGTCTTCATATTATTTGCTTATTTAAGTTCGCATTTTATGGTGTGTGATGGCAAACTATTCTGAACCTTAGACCTAACATTACAAATATGATAAACGCTCAAAGCAAGCACTATCATCATTATTAGACATTCCCTAATTTAATACCTTTTTAAGTATCATTCACCCAGAGGGCGTAAACTCATGAGAGAAGGGAAATGTTATTACATATATGTAATTATTTTATAATTATATATATCCATACAAATATATTATTTGCTATATTATAGATTTTACCTTAAAAAACACTAAATTCACTATACAATAAAAAAATTAAATTTAAGACACCACCACAATCAGGAGGGCTGAGACATCCAATAAGCTTAAAATTGATATTCAACAAAATATACTCATTTTCTTAAATAACTAAAGAACCAGTGTTTTTATCAAACATAAATTTAGCCATTTCTTTTATAACAGCATTAAGATGTTTAAATCCAATAATTCCAGATCCACTTACATCTATTTATCTGCATTTCATTGACTTAACTTATACTAAATGATTTTCTCATACCCCTTTCTTATTTGGATATAATTGTCTTATAGTGTGTGATAATTTGTTACGTCCTCGCTTGGATATTTGAGAATACGCAGCCCTTTACCTGCTTTGATCCTGAAGCATATTATCATTAACTTTTAATTTTAGTGCAACTATAGAATACGATATAAAAGTATTAACGTCTTTTATTTTTATTGCTTATAGCTAAAATATTTATATTCCCATTTCTTAATCCAGTTATATTTTTTATTATCTTTTATAGGGGAAAAACTATCAACATGTTAGTTCTTAAAAGATTTTGTCTCCATTACATATATCATCGCAAGAAAATCAATTTGAACACTTTGCATCCATATAAGGACAGCAAAACATTGTGTTCTTTTGATTTATAGATTTTAGGTAATTAAGGTATTTTTCTAATATGTCATTTTTTTCAATATTTTTGGAACAATAACTTCTTAAATACTATAAAAATACAAAGCACAAACATAAAAAAAAGTTTTTTCATTCAATTCTTTCAAAATAGTTAATTTACATTATTAATGACAAAAGGAATATCATGTTTACACATTGCTTATAAATTTTTCTTACATTATAAAGTTCTTTGAAAAGGGGAGAATTGGAATTCTTACACTAATTATTTTTTGTATATTTCCCTATTTTATCTTATATCCCGTAGGTAAAGTTTAAGTATGGATTTGTAAGACGTGTAGAGCTTTTAATTTAGGATGAATTTCTTGTAAGCTTATTACATATATCAGCTAATCTATTATTGTTACCCCTAGAATTAGTAATCTTAATACGATATTTTCATTTGAATTCATAGTCGCCATTGAATTTTTTACATAATTTATGTGAATATAATTATATTAAATATAATTCTAAAAATGAAAATGGTAAAATATATTATATTACAATTAATATATGTCCAGAAGAATGAAATGTTTTTTTCTGAAATATTATAATACTCAAATACAATTAAATAATTGAGTTCTTTGATTTAACAGAAAAGAATACAAAATAAATCTGTTATAACTTATTCATTATATATTATATAAGGAAAGAAAATTTGAAAATGAAGTTTCCATAGGAACAGATTAAACAAATGTTTGATATAATACATAATGCGACAACAACATTTTTTATATAATTCTCAATAGTTTTACACACTAATGATATGAATTTAGGCAAATAAATCCATTTAATTAACCTATAAGTATGCATTAATGTAATGGTATACATATCATATAACACAGATTTTTTTTATTTTAGAAATAATTAGAATTAAAAACTACCTTCAATTCTCCAGTAATTTAATATTTTTTAAGCTAAAACCTTAATTTTTAGTGTGTTTGTTTATTTTAGAAATATATAATTATATTATGATAAAAACATAAATAATTATTTTTAATATACACATGTACAAACTAAGTTCCCTTTGGTGCTATATAAATAAATAGTCCATACATTTTTTTTATTATTACTTCAAATATGTAATTAATATTACATTTGAGTGTAATCATTTTAACTTTTTATGGGTAATGAATATATTTATAAATGTTAATGTTACATAGTTATAATATAAGCATATATTTTTACTTGCAATTTACGTATAAAATATAATTTTTTTTATGTCTAAGGCTTTTTTTAAAATTTAAATAATTGTTAAATTTATATTATATACAATATAAATAATGAATACACAGAGAATACCCTTTTTTCATATAGAAAAATTTGTATACAATTTATGTATGATTTTAACTGTAATTTCACATTTTGAAATTCTTAAAATCTTTTGAAATTAATAACATGTTAACTTATGTTAACAGCAGATAACTAGGAATGTTAAATATATTCAAAAACGTATATGTGAAATGTGATTTTTCACACTATTTAATATCACACATTAATGTAAAAAAATAAATTAATTTAATTACTATAATAAAAAATTTAAAAAACTATGTATATTTTTTTTTTAAGTATTCACATTATAATAAAAATATAATTGCGTTCAGATGGGAAAAATTATCCAAACTTTTTACGTTTATTATGAAAAAATATTAGTATCAATTGTTTTATATCCGATAATTTGAATAATATATATCAAATCGTTATACAACGCATTTTTTTTTACATTATCATATGCTTGTATTTGTTATATTTCACTGTTTTAAAAAGGGATATATCAATAAATTATTTTTAACAAAAAATAACAAAACAATAAATTATAATTCTGAAACGGTTTTACTAATGTCATATAGTAGTTGAGTATAAAAAATATTTGTTTTTATTCTATATTATATAAAAATATTGATCCATTCAGTCTTATAGGTTTTAATAGGTAATTTATCTGTGAATGCATTTTATTAAAGTTATTTCGATAAACGTGATAATATTATTAATAGTATATGTATCTTTATATAATTAAAAATTTTAATTTTGTTTTTGCTTATACTATTTGCTAAAAATTATAATTACCATAACTATGATTTTTAGAAAAACACTTGAATTAAAACATAGCTTATAATCTAATTCATGACATTAATATATACTATTGAATGTTATATTTTATTACTATACTATTAATGTATAATTTTATTTCATGATACATTGGGAAATAATTATTGTGTTTATGATATTAATAAAATTTTAGATTATGTTCGTATAATATCCAAGTGCTATTTTCAGTTACAAGCCTTTTTGTTATTGGTAATGTGTCGCGCAAAAACCTGTTAAATTGTACATGATGTAAGAAAATATATATACATATAAATTTTGTGAAAAATATTGAAAGAACGTACATTTTATTTAATATCATAAAGAAACAGTCATTTTGGTTTTGAATATATATGGGATAAATTTCTCCTGAACTACATTAATTAATTCTCTAATCATCTTCTTAACACGTTGATAAATATATTATTTGACAAATGAACTGTAGAAATCCAATATACATCATTCTGTGTTATGATAGACATTAAATATTTTTGTCACATTTAAAGTTACCTAATATCCAATTCTTTATATAATTATGTTTGTAGATCCACGTTACAACGTCATACTTAAAACTAAAAGTTTATATTATATGTTTTATTTTATGATCACTGTTTATTTAAAAAAAACATATTTCTTTTCAATTATTATTATCATTTTTACAAGTCAATATAATTTTTCTAGATATTATTATAATATAGATAAGTAAAACCATAATTAAATCTGTTCTTGAAATATAATACACTTCTAATTAATTCTTACGATCATATAGCTTCATTAGCTTTCTTACCTCCTTGTAATTATACTTAATTAATTTATTATTAAGAGATACTATTTATAAAAATTTAATTACACGGTGAAAAAATTAAAAGAATTGCATTTGTTAAAAAAATAATATATATTTACTTTAAATTTTATGTTTTGCATAAATATATTTACGCATGTATAATAAATTTTATTGTAATTCTTTATTAATTATCATTTCCTATATATGCCTTAATTACATAAAGTGCATATTCGCAAAAATAGAGATAATCTAATTACAATATAAACTAAAAATATATAACCACTTATATTTATTACAACGAAAAATTAATTCTTAAGTACATATTTTAAAAGTATTTATAAAATATTTGCCTCTTAAGAGTGTTCAATTAATGCATTAAAATATATATTAATAGTTAAAAGAATATTTTAAAAAATTCTTACATTCGGAAGAGGGCATTTTAAATAAATTCTATGTGCATTCATAATTAATACGTAATTCTTTATCTAAAATTATTATTATATTATTTAATTTTTAATTCCCTTCCAATGAATTATGGAATCATTATATTATTCTATGAACTCACTGGAATAAAACTAAATATTTAATTAATCAATTTATGTACATCTTATCATGTGATGAATTAGAAATATATAACAAACATCGAAAAAAATGTAACATTGGAATATACGAAACTATACAATTTTATTATTTTACTGGAGATAACATATCATAAAACAGAGTTTTTAAACAATTAATAAACTTATCAACTTAAAAAAAAGGAACAAAAACAATTATGAAGTAGATTATTACTACATCTTATCAAAAAAAGGATAAAAAAATTCCTGAAAAAAAAATGACAATTCTCTAATGTAATTGAAAATATATTTATAGTAAATTTTACATTATTTACAATTTTCTACTAATAGCATTTATTATACACAATTATGAAACACAACTATCTGCACGTATATTTTCATTATTCTTTTACACTATTTGGTACTATACGTAGCAGCATAAAAAAATATCTTATGAAGCTTGATAAGATATGCGAGCTCTTTTCTTAGGGGTGGCCCTATTTGTAGTCCTTGATGAGCTGTTTGATATTTTTGGCTTATTTCCCCTGTGAGGAGTATGCTTAATTTCCATATTGATCTCGCGTTTAATCTTTTTCTTATTGGACATCTTATTATGGATCCAGCTTCCGAATGGGGTAAACTAATATATAAAAAAATAAAATATAATATATATTACAATATAATAAATTAAATAATTTATTTGGGGGAATTATATGATAGATATATATTTTATAATATTATTAGCTCATACCTTATAATAGAGAAAGCAAACGAAAAGTGTACCCGCAGCTAATAATGCCGAAGTTACCACACGTGGAAGAATCGTAGTAAATGTAATATTTTCTGAATCCAAATTATAGAAATTATTCTCTGTTAAAGCATTTCCAGTAGCATTATATAACACAGTACTACTTCCTTTTTGATCTTTCTTGTTATCAAAATTAACTGCTTCTGTTTGAACACAAATTGCAGTTCCATCTTTATTTATTTCAATATTGGAACACATAACAGTTTTATCTTTCCTTCCTAAATTACCTTTTCTACCTGAGTCTGAAAACATGTATGCAACATTTCGACCCAATTCATATTTTCCACGTTCTTCATTTGCTCCTTCCCTTATGAATTCACCTAATGCCGCATAACCTTGTAATGTTGCAGGTATTCCTATATTATGTCTACTTTTCTCAGTAGAATATTTAGAATTTTCACGTAACTTAGAATAAAATTGGTTTTCTTCTTCGGTAGGTTTAAATATATGTTCAACGTCAAGGTAACCTTTTCCTGATCTATAGCATGAAACAAATGCATAATGATCTTTCTTAAGAGCATAATTTGTGATACATCTTGTGTTGTACATTTTTGTTATGTAATTTTTTAGGGGTTCATCGCTAACACTTTTTCCACTAGGTGGTTCTGTTGCTGATTCATTTGCGGGTGAACTTTCACCTTCTTGTTTTTTTCCTTTTTTATCTTCTAATATTTTTCTACTCAATTCAGATAAGAGAATTTTTGGATCATACTCTTCATTACATTTAAAATAATCACTACAAAGATCGTAATTAATGCCACAACAACTATTCTGCTCTTTTATTTTTTTATAAAGTTTATTAATATGTCGAAGGTATTCTTCAAATTTACTTTTATTTCCGTCTTTTTTATGTTCAATTTCTTTTTTAATTTCATGAAAATTTATAAAATATTCATATAAAAATTTTTCATTTTCCCAATTACCATTATAATCATCATAATAATAATAACAAGAATATTTAACTTGTTCATTTTTTTTAATACAATACCGCATATTATATAGATGGTCAATAAGCGCCAGAACGTTATTATCTTTGCCTTGATGATTTTCCATTTTTTTTATTTCACTATATGCCCAATATTTCAGAAATATACATTTCTCCTTAGATTTTCCTCCAATTGCCATGCCTAATATATCATCTAAATTGCGTGCAAACTTTTTACAGAATTCCTCAAATCCGGGAAATTCCATTTTGTTCTGTTCACATATTTTACAGACGTCTTTATTGCTATATGTATTAGCCCCTTTGTTGAATTCATCATATATTTTGTCTGAGGACAGACCCTTCAGTACATGATCCTAGAAATTACATATATTATAAAAATTAGATAAAAGTATAAATTTTTAATTTTAAGAACATTTTCGCACTATTTAACATAAATTTAACGTAAAACATTTTTTTAATAATTGGTGTATAAAAATATTAAATCATACCCATTGGCCATTAGATTGTGCCAAAGTCATTTCCTTTCGTTGTGTATATATTAATTGATGTAAAAAGAATAAATATTCTATGTCATTATTTATATCTATAAAAAATAAGAATATTTAATACAGGAATTAATATGAGAAGAATTATAATGATTTAAAAAATATATATATTTTTTATTGTGGAATTTTATTTTTAATGTAGACGATTTTTATAATATTTTAATTTTATAATTCTAGAATAATTTATATACCTATAATTTTGAGAAAATAACATTAACATTTGGTAAACAAATATCCATATAAGACTAAATAATTTATGTAGTATTAAAGTTTTATAATACAGTGCCTTGCGAATATATCGTTTTTATTTCTAATAACAAAGAATAGTATAATAAAATTTCATTAAAATTTATATACATTTTTAATCTATTCTTTAATTCATTTGTATTTTATTTTAGTGTCAAGGTGTTCAGTTTCTTCCTTTATATGTAATTACTAAATTGCTAGATATTTATTTCTTTTGATATTACTTGTTATAAATACAAAATAAATTATTTTTTTAATATATAGGAGTATATACAAATTTTTATTTTATCTTTTATGAAAAAAATCCTATAAGGAAGTTAATGTAGTTATTTTAATCTTGCTATATACGATATATTGTTTCCCATTTTGTAAATTCAAGGATGTGTTATTTATACATATTATACACAATATAAATTTTCATACATAATATTTATAGTAACACATAGAATATGTATTTTTATTTTTATAAAATAGATTTATTATAAATGTTTTTTCAGAATTTAAATTTATTATGATTTAATTATATACTTTTGTTTAAGTATTGCACACTATTATATATTCATCATTCATTTTTAATCTTTTGCTTGGATTTTTTGCTTAATTTATATTAAATCATTCGACTTTTTTCGAAAATATAATTATTAATTATATTTTATGTACTTTATGCTATAATGAGTCACAATAAAAAGGTAATGAGTTAAATTGATTAATACATGTCATAATATTTTTATCATTAAACAGAGTTAAAAAAAAATTGTTTTTTTGAGGATTTTTATTAAAATATTAAAGCATTCATATTTTTTATATTTTCATTTTTATTTAATGTTAATTTTTTTTTTTTCAATTGTTTTTCTTATGAGAAAGCAGAAAATCCTGTATTAATTGTTAATTGCCATAATAATTGTTATTTCTCCCATTTTAAATTATTAAAATTATGTTTTTTTAATAAGTAACATAATGAGTTGTAATATGTATTCAAAAAATAGAAACGAATTAGATATAATGTTATAAATAAATATACCCATAAATACTGTTTTGTGAAGTGAAATTTACTAAAAACCAAACATATATTTGCAAAAGAGAATAGTATATTAAGTTTTTATTATAAAATAAATTATTTTTAACCTAGAATAATATTAATAAAAACACAGTACCACAATAAAGAATTAATAAAAAAATTATTATTTCTTAAAATAAGTATACTTGATATAGTTCAAATATAACACTATACGTTATCATCACAATTAAATGATTAATAATTAATGTAAATTTTTGTAAGTTAATTTATTAGAGTGTAACATGTGAGCGTGTTGAATAATATTTATAAATTAGATATTATAATGTTATTATATATTTTATAAGTGGATCATATAGTGTTCTTATAGATGTTACAAAATCACAAATAATAATTTTATATTTAAAGTATATATATGAATAATTACACTAAAATTTTAATTGTGGATTTCCTGATAAGTTATGTGATTACAATTTTTTACTAATATTTTAACGCATACAATAACTACACAAATAAACAATCAATTTTACAGTTATCTTAGCAACAAGATTTATATATTAAATAACAATAAATCAATAATATTACTTATAACAAAAGAATATATATTTTACTATATTCTTTATATATATATATATATCCGTAAGTCCTTAATAATTTAATAAGGAATAACTCATAGAATCTTTTAAATATATATATGTATTTTGTAAAGATAAAGTAAATTTTTATATGCTATATAATTTTGTAAAGGTATTAAATTCTATTATACTATAAACCGTATATTTTCTAGAACTTAATATATGAAAAATGATGGAATCTAATTCATAATGTAAAATATAATGGGAACATATAAATTTTGTATATATATAAAATAATTTTTTCTCAAGAATAATTTATTTATTTAGGATTATTGCTAATTATTTTACATCATATATTTTTTATTATATTTTATGTATATATTTCATCAATATTCTGATTAACACATTTTAATTTTCATTTAATTTATATTTCATATTTAATAACATTACAGTTTGAAGATACATTTTTTATTATAATTAATCTTTTAATACATGTGCCATTGCTATATATTATATATAATAAAATATTGCTCACGAACCTATCCTATAGAATGTTCTTTTCTCTCTATATAATATGAATTACATGGTACTAATTGATAGTCAAATTCTACATTTTGGTCTCTACACATTTCACTTATAATACACATTTTCCGTCCAATTACGTTGCGAAATTGGATTTCTAATGGTGTAAACATATATATAAAAAAAAGTTAAAATAACGTATTTATTTATTAATTGTTGATATTTCAAGGAAGTGAGCTATTAAAAAAAATATATTCCATATTTGTATTAATATAATATATATTTACCATATACAAAGTGACAGAAGTAATAGTAAATAAAACAATTATGAAATATACTTTACCTAAAATATTTACAGAGTTATGTCTTTCGCTGCTTATGAATAAATCGTGAAATGCTATGCTCATATGATAATTGTTAAGAATCATCTTCCAAATTGCATTCAATTAATTCTATAAAATTCTCTTCAGGTGCAGTTTTAAATTCTCTAACGTAAATAAATTCTAATTTAGGATTAGATAATTAAGCAGGATTCACAGTATGCTCATTCTATGTATCATTTTTTGGGACTTACTTTTTTATATTTATTAATTTTTTTCTAAAATGATAATTTACTTTTTTTGTTACTTAGGTAAAACCATTTTTAGTTTATTAACTGTTATTGCATGTTTATTAAGTATTGTATACTGAACTATATTCAATTCTATAATCCTGATCAATAGAATTTTTGTATGTATATTCGAATGGATCCAATAATGTGAGATATTCATCATTTTTTTTATTAAATATTCTTTTTAGCTTCATTATCATTGGTTTTAAATATGAACTAGAAGGAGTATACTAATAATAAAAAATCCATGTTGTACATATATGAATAGCTCATTTATTAGACAGAATTTTCGCAATAAAATATATTATAATGAAATATATATTATCTAAATGGTATTTATATTTAACCTTATATAAAATGAATACAATTAGTGATATTACAAATGTAGAAAAACTTAAACTTAAAAATATCATCCGTATATATGTTCCAGTGGAGGTATACATGATTTCAGAATCTTCTTTTTGTTCATTTTCTCCGTCATTAATGTATAGTTCTTTAAATGATTGTAGTACTTTGCAAAAATTTCCCTTTTTCCCATCTTGGCAACTACTTGAGACCTCCGTATATTTATTAAAACAAGTACTATTGGAAAGACATGTATCACCATTATTTATTAATGTATTATATAAGTTATACAAGTTGTCAAATTTCTGAAATGTATCATCATTAAAATTTATTACATATTGTAGACATATATCAGACATCCCTTCAATATTTGCATATTTTGCATTTATCATTCTGTTATAACACTCTCTTTCCACCTTACATGAAGGATTTATATCTCGTACAAAATACTTTAGAATATAATTAAAATATTTACAACTTGCTTCTTTATTATCGCTGGATTCTTTTTTTATATGATCTAAATAAAAACTGAGATGCATACAATACGTTAAAAACTTAGGATTATCTATCGCTAATTTGATTCCATAATGATTGCAATTATTTTGATATGTATAATATAGAGGAGAATAATCAATATTTCTTATGACCATTTTAATGTCCTCTAAACATACCGGAAATATCCCACTGAAAACGAACTAAAAATAAAAGTCGTTATAAATATGATAATATTAAATTAATATTTTGAAGTATAAATCATACATATGTATTACAAATATATCGATATATTTAAATAAAGTTGTATATATTATATTTTTAAAATCAAATAGAAGCGTACATTTTCATTGTCATCCACTGAATCATCCATTCTGATATGCATGTACGGTAAACACACAAAAAAATTATATTTATGAAATATAACATAATAATATCATATATATGTTATATATATTCACTATTATAATTTTATTAATATAAGATATAATATAATTTTTTGTATGCATAAAACCATTCCAGTTTTATGCATTAAGGTTTATGTAATGTTTTTTTAATTATATTCACAAGTTAAAAAATGAATTTATAACTTTAGGGATATATATGATTGTTATAGAAAAGACTTTTAATATTGTCATGTATATAAATAAAATGTAACAAATAAATTATTTCATATATAAATGTAAATGAAATATATATTGATATAATAATTAATGTGCTATAAAATATTATATATATTTCTTTAAGCTTTTTAACCATTGAATATATGTTCAAAATAATGTAGAATTATCATTTGCATAAATTTCTAATTTTCCTTAAATTTTAAATTAATTTCTTATTACTAACCGAAACATGTAATTTTAATATATATTAAATTGCATATATTGCTATGAGTTAATATTTATAAAAATATAAATGTATTATAATTATACTTTTATGCTTCCTACTTTAATTGTGCAATAAATTAATGGTTTATATTTCCCCCTATAGTGTTCTACAAGGAATAAAATTACTGTCGTAATATATTTATTTAAACAATATAATCATATCTTATCTCTATTAAATTAATATTCCTTAAAAACGTATCATTCTATATTACACTTTATTTTTACTGTGCATGGATAATGCTTATTTTCTTATGGTACATATATATGTATATTTTAAAATGAATCTTGAGTAAAAAAAACATTAAGGTTATTAAATAAATATGTATCTCTTCCTTATTTATATTAATTGTTCAGGCATAAATTGTAAATCTTACAAGAAATATAATAAGATTTACGTATTAATATGCATATGTATATTATGTGATGCATGCCTATAAATTTCGAAAATTTATAAAAATATTTCATATGTTTTTTCCACATAAAGTGATATTGTTTCCCATTAAATGTACAAAACCATTTTATATTTTATCAAATTAGCTCATGTATAATGAATATTCATAATAATTATGAAATTTGTTTTTATATATGTATATGTAATTTAAATAACAAATGATAAACAAAAAATTGTAATAATTTTTTATGAACATCGTTATATATGTAAACATTTTATATTATGACAATAGTTTTATATATAATAAATTAACCCTATAGCATAATTTCCATATATATTATGTTAAACGTATAATATATTTAGTGTTAATTTAATTATAGATAAATATATCTTATTCTCTTAATTATTAACATACATTTGGTCTCTACATTTTTATGGAATGTAAACAATAGAATACATAAATTTTAATAAATATTTAAATTTTTTTACTAAAAAAATTTCTACTTATATTACTATTAAAAAGTTAATCCACATTTTTTTAAACACAATACACAATGACATACATACAATTATATTAATGAGTATAAAAAAAAAATAATTTAATCCTTTTCCATGAATTGTTTAATATATTATATTAACATAATAAATTTTTTGCTTTATACCTAATTTAATATATAACTAATTGTTATTATTTACAAAATTTTTTAATTTTTTTGGAATCAATGAATAATATAAATAGCATTGTTTAAATAAATATATCTATTTTGAATAAAACTTAAAAAAAAATACATATAATATTATTTACACCGGCTACGTAAAAACAAATATATTTTATTAATTGTAGAGAGTTAACAAAATTTAATAAGCATAAACTGACATTTACAGAATATATAAATTTCATAAATGCATATATAACATGCAAACAGAGATATTATTAATTATAATTAATATAGTTAAATTTATACACATAATGAGGGTAACATATAAATAACTCATGCTTAGAAGAAAAGCATTTTTTTTAATTATATCAATTTTATAAATAAGATAAATTTTTTACATCTAAGTTACCAATTTTCTGTTATGAATTTTATTATTCATTGTATTTCGAAAATTGCTACTGTCATATATAATTTTTCATTGAATAATTGTATAGAGGAAGGAATCAGTATTAAATGACCACTATTACATGATAATTTCCATATTTAAAATAATCAAATTATTTATTCCATATGTTATTATATCTTTTTATTTTGTATTATATATATAAAAATGCATAATGTTTATACATTTAATGGTGTATATTTTTTTAGCAAAATTTTAATATAACATTTGATTCAAAGCTTTTGATGATGCCTGAACTTTAGATACTTTTCTTTTAAATGAATATTTTCACATATGTTCTTCTAAAATAATAGAACTATATTATTTTTTTAAAAACAAATTATAATCATACTATCTCCTCTTGTAATATTTCATTTTCTTATATATACAAGAATTATTCATGAATCTAACATTCCTTAATAAAATTATTTGTTGATACACTAGTTATAGGTGTTCTAAATTACATTGATATATTGGAATGCCTTTTTTATCTATTCGATGCTGTTTATTAATAGATTTCAGTTAAATTATTATTAAGGATATTATTTTTATTGTTCTATTCCTGTATGCTTATGTAATAACAATTCCAAAAGTAATATCTATATTTACAGAATCTATGTTGTAAGATGTATATATACTTAAAACATTTTATTATTAATTTGATAACATAAATTATGCAATGCCATATGATATATATATATTGTAGTTATAAAATAAACTACTATAAAGAAATTAGTCGGGATCGAATTAGAAGTATATAATATATGAAGAATTTGTTTTTTATCTACTATTGTATGAAAAAATTCAAAATATACGAGAAACTCAAAGCTTCATAGTGTTCTTAATGAATTTCTTGTTATGCAATATTTCCAAACTCTGTGAACTATATGAACTATATTATTTGTATATTCTAATACTTTATTAAATTTTTTATGTAAATATTTCCTTATTTAACCAAAATTATATTTATTAAGAAAAGCACAATGTTTGAGTTTTGATACAGTGGTAAATACACTGCACAGTTAGCTCCTACCATACTATGAGATAAATATATTCATGAAATTTATTTTTACTTTGATATATGGCATGTTATAAATAGTATTATAAAAATTTTTTCATAAATCATATATATCCTTTACATATAATTATTTTTGTAATAATAAAAGCACTGGAAAAGTTAAAATGCTTTTTTATTTAATAACTTATTTCTATATTTCTCTATGAGAGATTTTCAAGTTGTTCTATTAATTAGTTATAATAATTCTTTGCATATGAGTGTGTAATATGTAAATTGTATCCTTAAACTGTATATCCTTATATATATTAATGTAACTATGATAATGTGCTGAGAAATACTATAATGTTTCACTTAAAATATTGCACCAATTTTTTAGTTCTGTCTATATTTATATTTTTTTATAAAATTATGAAAACATTCCTGCATGAACATTTTTTATTACTTTTTTGTTACATTCGTCTGAAGGAATCATAGCTCCCTCATTCATGTGATATGATCTTCTCAATCTTCAGATTTCAATCTCTCAATATACTGTTCTTTAATATTTTTTAACACATTACAAAAATCAGTGTAATTATTGATTCAAATGTAACATATACTTTATATATATTTTTCTGTATTCATTGGCACAGTTAAACATATTTTCACTAGAACATTTACTATTTGTATTACTAAGCTTACAGTTTATATCATATAAGTCATTGAGTTTCTTCAATATATCATTGGTAATTTTTTCTTCATAACCAATGCATATAATCTCATCTATAGATTCATATGCCTTGAGGAATCCTTCGTGAAGTTTATTTATATAATTTTTTTTTTCCTTATTAAAAATATCATTATTTATAGAGGAATACATGTCTATATCGTAAATGAGATATTTTGATTTTCGATTATTTATATAAAAAACAGCTTTATAACAATTATTAGTAATACTATTATGCTTGGACTCATATTGTTTACAGTAATTCTCCAATAGATCAGAAAATATCATTACATATTCGTTCACTTCTTTCTTTTCATCATCAAAAAATATACATGTTTGTATTAATAATGAAAAATAACACAATAATGTAAAACAATTGGTACATTATATATGTAAATGTTTTATTAATTTAATATTAATGAAAATAAATCGTTTTAACTGAAAAATTATAATTATAAAAAATAAAAGGATATAATGTTTTCTGTTTTAAGAGACAATATTTTTGTATTTATAAAATTATATAAAACAAGTAGACACTAGATAGTAAAGTTTGTATGAAATAGCTAACGTAAAGACATTTAAGATAGAATAAATGTAAAATTATTTTATAAAAATGAAGTTTAAATAAATAATTCATAGTTTTCTTTTAGGTTTTATGGAAAATTAATTTTGACTTAAATAGTTATTATCATAAAATATTAAGTAAACACTTTTGATCATATAAATATAATATCTCTCTATATAATACATCAGTTAGGTAATATCACTATATATTTGTATATAATTTAACATAATGTGAACTTTTTGAAATTTTATAACGTATTATTAGGGTATATAATAATATACTTTTACTATTCCTTTGTGCACAATACTATTATGTATTTGTCTGAATATTAAAAGTACAGAAATATATAACATACGTTTAAATATTATTTGATCTAAATGACAAAATATTATGTACTTATTTTTCAAAAAGTTTACTTTATAAATTTTAAATATTTAAATTTTTATTTTGCATTTCCTTTTTGTGATTAAGCACACATCTTTCCTGAAACTATTTTTTGTGCATCTTTATAATTTAAGTGATTACATAAATAAAACTATATATGACACATGCATAATAATATTACATAAATTATTTTTTAATAGATAAGGTTTTTACATTATAAATATACTTTTTTTTTAGCATATTATAATGCATGCATTTTTAGTTACAATTTAATTTGTTCATTTCCTTAAATTTGCAGCAATTAATAAAGGTAAATTTTATACTTCCTATATT